GAGAACAGCAACATGACCCATATTTTCACCAGGGGATGAGAACAGAAATACAGGTGGTTCTCACAGGAGCTCTGAATGATTTGCTGGCACAGACACTGCAAGAAAGATCATTTATCATGAACGGACCCATGACGAATTTACCATTAAATAGTAATATTCTAAAATTGCTAAACGAATGAAGACACTGACAGAATCATCTAACATATGTTACTGAACTGCTGTTAGTATGTAGTACTTTGTTGGTGCAGGATTTCCTTCAAGAAAGAACAAATTCTGTTGGTGCAAGATCGCTTCCAAGTAAGAACGAATTGTAGGAAACCTTCACAAGAAATAGTTTAACAATTTCAGTTTCACAAACAACAATAATGAAATAACACTATCAGTAATAAGAACAGTTCATAACTCTGTCAGGGACATGTGCACTGGTAATTCTATAGTGGACATGTCACAAAGACCAGACATTCACATCTTCTACACAACCATAGACACAGCATTCTACAAACGTGCCGAGAACAGCACAAAGCAACAGTAGTACTGACTGAACAAGACTGTGCCAGCTTCCGACTTCATGTAACACAGTGAGAGGTCAATCAGCTTCCGAACTTTACAGCAATGACCTAAAAAGTGTGCCAACCCAAATCAAATATTCATGCAATTGGTACAAATTCAGTTACATCACTTCTAGCCTGCATTAGGCTTAGAATGTGCCGTTCCATAAGGTAATAGACTGTATTTTGGATGTATTTTTTTACCTATACGAGTCCAGGATCCAGGGTGGTCACTTCGTTAAACAATGTTGCAGGTAGACAACCTAATGGGTCTATATTTCACCCGGAGGCTCTGGTAATACCGCTGTGCTTGAGTACCCAGGCCTACACCCTGGATGTCGCCATGTCTCCACCTACCACTAATGTATTCATTTTAGAGTGGATGGCCATTAATCCATATCTGGCGGAGTCTGGAGTTTGGTCGTTGATAGACCAACATGTGATCAATACTAACCAACATTATTCAAAAGTTTATACATTATTCCTTTGCAAGTAGCACATTTACGATACATTACTGTTGTACAAATCATGACACAATGTGAGAAAGCCAAATACACAAAATATATATATATAGATATATATATATATCCTGTGTATGTATATAGATTAGATAGATAGATAGATAGATAGATAGATAGATAGATAGATAGATAGATAGATAGATAGATAGATAGATAGATAGACATATATATATATATATATATATATATATTCCAAAGTAGGGTCTTGCAGCGGAGATAACTCAAAGCATCAGCATATTATTGTCAACGTTTCAATGGAGCTCAGTCCATCTTCATCAAGGTCTCGATAGCTCCATTGAAACATTGACCATAAAATGCTGATGTTTTGACTCAAGACCCTTGAGTGCCTCTATACCTACTGAATCATGCGTCTTTGTTGGTTGTCCCGCCTAGTGATCTGGACAAAATGTCAAGTCAAGGGGGTTCATATGTATAAAACTGAAACATAGAAAACTTTAGTAAAGGAAATAAAAATATGGTCGCCAAGGGTCACAATTCCCTTTTCCTCCAGCGTTCAGTAACCCGCACCTCTGTCAGTGCATATGATCAACATTTTTGCAGACAACAAGAAGAGGAAACTAAACACATAAAAAGTCATATGGAAGATCCCACAACAACACTGGCACACAGCATTAATAAAACCTGTAATGTTAAATAAAGCTACCCTGGAAACTAACAGCGCGGCAAATACACATTTTGACCAGCACGTGGTGAATCAGAATGCCAGTAAACGCACAGCACATCTTTCATTGCTACATCAAAAGCAATACAAGTAATGATCGCCTTTTAAAACACATTCATTTTCAGCCAGATGCTTTTCTTTGATGAGAAGAGATGCAGAATAAACACTACAATCTATAAAGGACAATGAATCATAGTATATGACACAGAGGATAACGTTATATTAACCAAAAGCAGACTAATCCTCGCTGTTTAGAATTTATTTGACCAAAGTGTGTATAATATCCAGCTTAATATTATATCTAAATACTTCCAATATGACATAATAGAGTAAAACTCCTCATTCTGTACAGCTATGTGCAAAGAATGCAATTAGCAAGACGGCTGTCATCTGCTGAGCACATGCACTTAGTATATGAAGTGTCATCACTTTGATCAATGACTAAGTTCAGGAGTGAACATTTCTAGTCACTGCTACCCTGCATACAACTGGTAGAACTTGTATGGTAAGTAATCTAAATCAGTCGTCGCTGCTGTGAAAATGCATGATATCGCCTGAGCAGAAATCTCATGTAAAACAAAACAGTGTTCCCTCCTAATGCCATCAGATACTACTAGACATCAGTGGAGTGATATTGGCTAAACTGATTTGGCAGCGAAATGACATTTTGACGCTAGAGTGGAAACTATAACAGAGTTATTCACTAAAGGGTGAAGAGTTTGGAGAGGGCAGGAGAAGTGAACAATCTAGGACAACATGGCTGAACTGGAAAGTGAGCTGAATTGGAGACTTTTCCCAAATCAGCTATTTTGTCCTAGATTATTCACTTCTCCTGCCTTCTCCAAACTCTTCACCTTTTTGTGAATAACCTTGTAAATTTTGCTCAATATAAGCTTGAAAAAGTACTGTTTTTGGAGGGGATGTATTTACAGTCGTTTCTTTCTTTTTTTTTTTCAATTTCTTTGTTTTTGTATTTTTTATTTTATTGTTATTTGGATACTGATGCTTTAAATATTGTATTTCATTTTTTGTGGGGGGAAAAAAACCTATAATAATGACACCAACAAAGAGTAATTTTTGCCACAAGAAAAGATCCAAGATAGTTGTCAGGAGCTTCTGTTACTCTTATGAGCCCTTTAAAGCCCATTGCACCCTTATAATTCCCCACTTGGGGGTGTGCGTTTTCAGTCGATTTTGAAGTTGTTTTTGTTTTTTTTATGATTTCTGGTGATTTTCAGTAGCTTCCATTGAGATCTATAGAGCCAAATACAGTGGTACCGTCGGTTCACAAACTCTTCTGTTCGCGAACTATTAGGTTCACGAATAGGAAGTTTGGCAAAATTATGCTTCCGTTTGCGAACTCCGCATCGGGTGACGAACACGACCGCAGCCATCTTCCCTGCTCTGACACTGGTTTTTGCTTCCTCTAGTCAAGATCGCAGTCTGATCACAGTTTGACGACCAATTCGGTTCACAACCAGAATCGTGGAACAAATTAAGTTTGTGGACCAGAGGCACTGTACATGTGATTCTGCCTGAAAAGCTGCTTGTGTACTTTTTTTAAGCTGCAGGGGACACAGGGCTCAGGTGTGAACAGACAACACTGAAAATATTGAGATTCTTCATACTGCGCATTGTCAAGTTTCAGGAAACACAGGACAAGACACTCAGGTGTGCATGGGTGCTTGTGCATTTCTCAAAGCACAATAACACTTAACATGAACTATCCCAGTATTTTTAATAAGTAAATAAATAATGCACTTCACGCTCAGCCCCTTACTAAGCAGCAGGCACTAATTCCAGCGGGAAGCCAAAATAAGAACAATATTATAAGTGTAATGTGCAGCGCTCTCAAAATTATTTTCAATGGTGCATGTTCCCACCTGACCTTTGTGTCGCTTAAAAAAAGTACAAGAACTTTTTTCAGCCAGAATTGTGCATTTTTGGACCCATAAGCTTCAAGGGAAGCACCTTATAGAAGCATGTCACCTGTGTTTTCAAGTGATCTGAGCATGTTGTCGTGTGTTTCCCTGAAGCCCGACAACTCTCAACATGAAGTATCCCATTATTTTCAATGGAGGACGTTCACACCTGTGCATTGTGTTCATAAAGCTTTGTTTTGGACAGGATTGCCTTTTTTGGCTGATAGACCTCAATAGGAGTGCCTAAAAAGTGTTGTGTCGCCTGCCACTCGAAAAAGTACATGGGCTTTTTTCATGCAGAAATGCACATTTTTGGCCCCATAGATGCTATTGGGGGTGGATGGAAAGTGCGTGTAGTAGGCATCTTTTGTGCAATGAGCACAATGTGTCATGTGCACCACAACATTCAACACGAAGTATCCCATTATCTTCAATGGTGCCCGTTTCACACCTGAGCGTTGTGTCGAAAAAGTGAAGTGTTTAAGGCAGGAAGCGCATGAAAAATGAGCGCAAGGTGCATTTTTGTGTGATGTCATGTCTAACAATATCTCCTCCTCCTAATAACTAGCTTTCCATTGGCTGAAATAAAAATGCTCAAACCTGAAAATTGAAAAAAAAAGAGCAAAAACTTCAAAATTGACACTTGAAAAATCGCACAAAAAAGCACAAAAACTTCAAAATTGACACCTGAAAAATCGCACAAAAAAGCGCAAAAACTTCAAAATCGCCTGGAGTGTGAATGGAAGGGTGGCAACCTGTCTCCCTGGATTGACTCTAATGTATGTCCCCAAAGTGTTGCGCAGCTGATCCCTATATTCTAGTAGGGACCCTTAAGCCTGGGCTGACAGCTCCAACATTGAACTGACTTTGCTGTGACAGCTCAGCTCTTTAAACAAACAGAACAAAGCAATTTACTGATTGGCAAAGCGTGCCACACTTCATCAGATGGGCAAAGTCACCACATCTACTAGAAAACACCTTCCACAGTCAATCGCTGTTAGCAGGGACTGCGGATGTTTTTTTTTTCTTCCCCGGGATCCCTGCAGATTCCTCCAGCTCACATGCTGCAGTACAGACACAAACACACTCAGCTGTGATGTGACAGCACACTGCGATCACCGATCAGCCGCTGTCATCAACACTAATCCACCTGTCCAGCTGATCAGCAGTGACCCCATGTCACCCCAGGCACACACCTGCTTCCTAATGCCATTGCTACACCCTCCCAGGCCTGTGATTGACACCTGGAGGAGGTATACGGGTCACCCGCATCCACTGGATGAAATCGATGGTGCGATCGGTGTATGTATTGGCCGTGCCAAGTTACCTTAGTGTCTGGATAAGATCGTGCAGTTCGCTGTGTGCTCCTAATGCTCTCCGATCGCTCCTGCTTTCTGAGCTGTCAGTAAGGCTTCCTGTTAGCAGCCAGCGGCTTGGCAGCTCTAGTTGATCATAGTAAGGATCCCGATGCCAGGGTTCTCCATGCCAAGTGTTCCCGAGCCTGCTATGGCAGAGGAGTTGTAAAGTGGACGGATTGGTGGCCTGTCAGGCAGCTGATTGTGAAGGGGAAGAGAAGATCGGAGGAGGAGCGGAAGGCAGGGCTCAGCCAGTGACATTACAAGTATGCGTGTGTATGTGTGTGTGTGTGTGTGGGGATGTCAAGCCAGCAATGCCGCCTCCTCAAGATCAACCTCTCTCCCTGTGTCTCCTCTCCTCCCTCTGTCGTTACGTGGCCGGCCAGCCTGCCTCCCTCATAGCTTTATTCAGCGGACAGTCAGCAGGGCAATGCGGCTGGGAGGATGAGGATGACAGGAGACACACACACAGCTCACCCAATGATACAACTTCATCAGCAGACCCTCTGCTTCCCCCCTGTAACAGGCACTGACAGAGCTGGAGAAAGGGCTGTGTCTGCTTTCCCCTAAAGGTCATTGCACAATTGCTTGACCTTTGCCATGGCAGTAGTTAAACACATGAATTATTCAGACAGGCTGGTTTTTTTCTTCACCGGCAGCTGTATCTTGTAATTCCAGGTAAATAGAGATGACTGCCATCACAATAAAATAATCAATGTGCAAAAAAAGTTCATTGATGAGGTTATTGGATTGGAGGCAGTATAGCATTGCCAGCTCAGTCATTGGACCCCAGGTGCAATGCTCTGGCTCCTGCAGACTCTCCCACCATGTATGGTATGGACATGTAAGTCGGCTATACACGCAGGGCCGGTCCTATAATAAGGCAGCCTGAGGAGCTTGTTTTAGGCTGCATCTCATGCCGGCAGGTGTAGCAACCTGTGAAGCTCTGTTCAGCTTCCCACCTAGCTCACTGACATCACTGGTTACCAGGAGATGATCGGAACACTGTGACATAGAATGCCGGACAGCACAGCTCTGCCGCCCCA